TGGTGGGGCTGAGCTGCCCACCGGGGTTAACCCAGGACAGCAGAGAAGATGAAAAAGGTGCAAGGACCGTGGGACAAGGAAAACTACAAAAGTCTGAGAGGCACAAGCTGGACCTGATAAGGGTAGAGAATAAAATGGAGAGGAAGGGAGGGGGCAGGACAGGCAGAGGACAGGAGGTATGGGGTCATGGTTACGGTGAATGGGTGGAAGAGCCTAGGACCATTAAAGTACAGCCTCCTACAGAGCCCTGGGCTGCTCCCACAATCCCCGAACCCACCTTTCCTCTGCAAACTCGTGGGCAAAGTGCTCCCTCCACATTTCGGGTTGGCTGAGGAAGCGGAAGAGCTTTGCTTGCTGTCCCTCTGTTACCTCAAGAGGTCACAGTCTGTGCCGAACCCAAAGGCAGCGGCTCGGATGATGACTCACAGGGGTGTCACCGTGATGCCACACAATGGAGTTTCCTGTGCTGGGGTATAGTTCTGCTTTCACTCTCGCAGTAGTAAATTACAGGATTGAAACAGCAGCGAAAGCACAAAGTTACGCCTCACAGTTGGGAAGTGCCAGAATTGAGTTTCTTCGCCAGTTTTACTCCCCTACTTCCCTTCCACCCCCCTATTTTGTGGTCCTAGAGTGAAATAACCCTGTTTATTTCAGCTCCTTCTCTTCCCTGGCATAAGGGGAGCTCTGGGCATGAATCAGTGTGCTGCAATGAAAGAAATGCTGCGTAGCTGATTTCTTTTCTTGTGTTGCAGAAATTAGGCAATGCGTAGTGAGTGATATAGGGGCTGGAAGAAGAGGAAAGCTGACCTGCTGGACGAGGCAGGCTATTGCTGCCCTGGAAAACAAGTGCTCGTGGTCTCTGCGTGGAGTCCTTGCATGGGGTGGGTTGACCACTCAGACTCAGCTGTCTACAGACAGTCACTGCCTCTAAGCGTGTCAGTCAACAACTGCCTGACCCAGAGGCTTAGACTGATTTTTGGACACGAAGGACGCTGTTACCGATGAGGTCTCTTTGTACCACACAAGGCATGATTATGATTCTGACAAATGAAAATATCTTGGTTTGAGCTCTCAGAAATACTGCTTTGGACTTCAGTGACTGCATCTCAGCTCCTTCTGTTTGATGAGGATAAAGCAAGTGCTTACTTCACTGTGGGTCCTAAAAAGAAAGCAGTATTTGTGAAGCACTTAGATACTTAAGTGCCATAGGGAAAATTGAAGAAACTAGTAATTCTGTCTTTGGAACAAGAGCTGGGTAGTGGGTAGTGACTAGGGTATGGAATAATGCATTCAAAAACAAAGTTGCAATGCAGTATTTAATACACTGATGCAAAGATGCTGTGGGCAGTATAGTATGAGACAAGACAGTGTCATAATGTTTGGAATCATGTTTGCAATAGGCCTAACTGGAGTTTCATGGATAACCTTAATTGGGTATTTTTTAAATTTTGAGTGCTTAGTTTTGTAGCCCTAAGACCATTCTTTGCCATAATATTTTCTGTGTGTGCAAGTGTTTAATATAGAAAAGAATAATAACCTGAGCTAGTGAAGAAATTACTTACCTTCCTCTACAAAATAATTTGATGGAAAATAGATCAGCAAGCCAATTTTCGCACCTTAGCTATGCTTTTGTAAATATGCGGTAGACCAAGGTACCTTCTTTGGTAGCGCAAAGACGTTTTACTTATTGACTTAATTTACTGATTGAATCTACTTGTCTTTAACTCAGCTACGTAGGGTGGACAGCATCATGCACACTTATTTATTGTCAGGGCATCTGGTGTATGTGTGTAGGAATTTTTATTTTATTAATATCTAAAGAAACAAATAAGTTATTAGAAAACATAAAATTTTATGTCAAAATCCTTGGGAAACTAGTTTTGATGACGTTGCACACAGATTCCTAGGAAGCTAAATACTCTGGGTTAAAATATTTTACTTAACAAAAGAGATTCAGTAAAAACCTCTCTGAAATTGTGGTTATATTTTGTCTCCTACCGGAATGTCTGGAGGAAATCATTCTTTTTAATGTCTTTGTAAAGAAAGCTCAGAATAAGCAGAGCGCATTTGGCAAGTTCTGAACTGCAGCAGGCTTTACAACCAACTTTTCCAGGTTGTATATTTTCAGAATTAGCATGGGGGGCTTTGGGGGCTGGGTTAGGAAAAGTGGACAAACTGAGTGACAGCACCGCTGCTAGAAAAACTTAATGTGCAGGGAGCTCACAATCAAATATTTATAGCTTTATGGGCAACAAATACTCCGTGAGACAAGACTACAAAGCAGTCCCATGCTCAGGTATTCTTTTTTCTCTCGCCCTATCCATTTCTTTCACCATATCCTTTTTCAGAATACTTACTACGCTGTCAGCATTGTTATTGCCAACCCCACTGCAAACTAGTAAAATGGGGAATGCTATTTAATGCCTTTTTATGGATTTCTCAGTTGATCCAGTTGGTTCCTATTAAAATATTGTGTTCATTTTAAAATACTGCAACTAGTAGGGCAAGTAGCGCTTTTGTTCAAGAATCTGTTTTTCAAATACATCGTATCTAGAGATCTAGAAATAAAAAAAAAATTCGGAAAACATTTTGATTCATTTTTAGGTGATTAGCCCAGTTTTCATATTGTACTTCAACCACTGATTATCTTAGGAGATGTTTTTGCCAGAAAAAGGCTGCACTATGAATAATTCTTTCAGTATTTCTGCAGATGCTGACTTCTGAGGCAACTGAAATGAAAGTGCTCTTCAGAGGAGATCTGTACAAGATTTCCCAGCCAATGAAACTTCTGTGAAAGATCAGAACAAGAAGTCACTACATACGACGCTGCGGTACTCATTGCCAGCTAGACCCAGGTTTGTCCAACACCTGTAGGGATGCTGGAAAGGGCAACTTGCAACCTTGTTATTAGGGTCTCTGGTGGCAATGCTGGGAGACCTGCTTCTCAACTTTGTTTCTGTAACATGGCTATATGGTGCTGGTCACTCAGCATCTCAGACTCCACAAGAGTCTGGGAGAAATTTAACCCCCTGCTGCAATACACTCCTTTTTTTCTATCAGTTTTTTTTTTCTCCTGGAGTTTAGTAGTTTGATGGCCGAAAGGGCTGTGCTGTGCTCTGAAGCGTGCTCTTGCCTCTGCAGAGCAAAGCACTGCACAGGGAAGTAAGAAGAGGGTCCTTGTCAGCGCTACGGGGAGGAGAGCACGACAGGCTGGTCTGCTCTACTCTGCTCCTGGTTACCATCACCAGTAGGATGGAGAGCAACACAAGCACTCATTTATTGCTAGATATCAGCTGTGCTTAATCATCCATGGGACTTCAAGAGATTTTCTTAGTGTCTGCCTCAGCAGCAGCTCTGCCATTTATTGGGATATTTGGCCACTTCAGTTCAAACCTGGATTTATTAGTATCAAACTTTTAAAAAATTATCAACTATTACAAATATCCTCTAAATGCTTTCCTAGGATACCCACTGATAGGGGTTCTTATAAAATATAAAATCCTTTAAGTACTTGGGCCTTCATACAAATTTTCTATAGTAAGTAACATCAGGAATCTGTGGAACTCCAGATCCATATACAATTCATCATCTAATCCATTACTTCAACATCTTATATTTGGATTTTAAAAAAAACCCCTTTAGTATTTTGGAATTACAATGCTGTTATGTAAAAATCCCCACACACCTTTGTATGTGTTTGTCTTACTCATTTTAAAGGCCCACCTGCTATTTGCAAGTCTATTTGCAAGTATACCATTTGCTTTCCTAAATGTCAGTCGGGAGAAACATGGCATCAGCCTTCATCACCTATCTTCACTTGACGGCTAGATGTCTGTGATCAGAAGACATGCCGTGGTCCTGCCACAGTCCTTTCTGTCAGATTTCACTTAGTCATTAAATTTTAAAAACAAACAAAAAAATCCCACCAAACCAAGAAAAAAAACCCCAAACCCCAGTTGGATTGCAGTAAGACAAGTGTTCCAGTTAATTTCATGGTAGGGGAAAAGCAAGCTGTGTTAACTCTGTTATTTCTAAATCCTATGAGTGTGCTTTTAGTTTAGGATGGTGTCACCTGGGAACAGGGATCTGCATTCACAGCACACCCATACTGCAATATAGGGACCAAGATACAGCCTCGTCCCCCTCGCCACTCACCTGGGCTGAGTGAGTGCAGGGGCTGGCAGCTGTAGCACTGTACACTGCCCACAGATCAGACCCACACCCACACGTGCATTTAATGCATCGGGAAGGTGTAGGGTAATCTTTTGATCAGTTTTTGATAGCATCTGTGTTTCTGAAGCTGCACAAGTGTGACAAATGGTTGGAGGATAGAAGTCTTCTACCATATCAGTAAACCCCCCCCTTCGCCCCACCCCACCCCGGCAAACAAAACAAATGCCCCATACCTGGAGACGTTTCAGAGCCTGAATTATTAATAAAATAAGCATGATAATGAATAATCTATGTTAAGCATTTTCTTACCCTTTATTTTTTCATTATGATCAGAAGAGGAATATGATTAACAGCAGTTTAAACTTTAGCAGTACAATTTCAGTATTAAATATAAAACTACACTGCAAGTTGATGTATTTTAAAAATGGTTATGTATACTTTAGCCTTAAATTTATGTATCAAATACAAGTAACTCAATTGCTTCTTGCCTTGACAATTAACATATCTAACAAATTTCAACAAGCCAGACATCCATCTTTTCCATTAAAAAAAATAAGCAAGCACACCAGCTCTTATTCATAGCAAGGGGGTGTAAAGATTCAACACTTTCCTGAGTGTTGTGCAAAGAATAACAGGTTTGAGAAAGTCAGTTAAGTAAGTGTAATGATAAACCTAAAGTTAAGCTGGAGGACCTTTTGATTAACTTCATATTTCATGTATTACTTGCATCAGTTGAAAGCAACATGAGTTACAGAACTTCCATGAAAACAAGCCACTTACAAGCAGGTGGTTAAGCTTGATCAGTTTATTAAAAGGATTATATGACACGGTTGCCTGCAATAGCAGGGGACTGGATCTGATGACCCAGGAAGTTCTTTCCAGTCCCATGTTTCTAAGCCATGCACCAAGTGTATCCAGCCCACACTTTCACAGTTGGAAAAAGCCAAAGCCACACACACACTCTCACAGAAAAAAAAAATTTAAAAAAAAAAAAGTCCTTGATGACACCATTTCATTTCTCTAGATATTCACTATGCAGAGGGAACAGAGCTAAAGTCCTGTACAGAGGATACATTTACTCGAGGTTGATGTGGTACTGAAGTCAGTTAATAATTAGATACCTCCAGGCAGATTCAGTTACAGGGCATACCAACACTGCACACTGCCAGACAATTTCTAATCAAGCCAAGAACCTCTTGCAGGAATGAGGTCTCTTTGCTAGCAAGCAGAGCACACTGAATAAGCTAAAAGCAGCTGTTCTTAAATGAACTACCCTACCAACCGTGAGTGAATGACATAGATGGTAAGAAGCATTTACCTACTAGACAAGATCTCTCTGCACACTCAGGCAGAAGTAATTAGTTCAGAGCAGCAACCATTGCTCCTACCTTGCCTGTCTCTTGAGTATGTTCTTTTTAAAAGCTAGTCTACAGAATCAGTGCAGCCTTTCTCAAGCACTACCAAAGTAGCAGTTTGCAGCTGCCATGCAAGACACTACTTTAAAATGGTAGTCAGACATTCCCATCGTTGTGGCCAGTTTGCTAAGACAGCATATGCAGCCATAGCAAAAAGCCTTTGCAACAACTAGAGATCTAAACAATTGCCTACATTCAGCCCATCTAACTTTTAGGCACTTGGTTAAGGTGTCTGGGCCCCTAGTCACCCAGAACTCCCCCCACCCCCCCAGGAAAGAAAAAAAAAAAAAAAATTCACTGAAGGCAGATAGTCTTAATTGCCTTCTGTAGGTGTCTCTTGACCCCCACTGAGCAAAGCTGCATTTCAAGCAACCAAGTTCTTAACACAGGCACCTCAGTTAGACAGGATGAATGGAGACTTGCATCTCTTAAGAGTATCAATACTCTCCAAAACCAAAGGCAATTAAGCAATTAAGGTTTGCAACTCCAGTTACATTTGGACACAAACTTACAGTCAAGTAATTAAGCTATAGTCCCTCCCTCCCAAGCATAAAAGCCTTCTACATGGAGGCTCTGCAATTTGGGGGAAAAAAAAAAAAAGCAAACATTCTTCTTTCAAACAAAGAAGAGTGGACACAGCTGCTTTGCCACTCATTCATGGGGAAGCTGAAGGATCAGAGAACACTTACTCAGAGTCCTGGAATGACTAAGCACTGCTAGTGCATGCAAAGCAGAAGTAACAAGATGGTTTTTAAATTAACCCTAGTCCTCTTCTCCACCCCACAAAATTCATGCAAGTGTTTGAGAAGATAGTCAAGACATAATAGCCCCACTTTCCAAAAAGGCTTAGGTTTGTTGTTTTTTTTTAACATACTGTAAAAGAAATGTCCTTTTGTTTTCTTTCTGTGGGTAGAGAAATGCATTTTTGGCATGTTTGAGAATCATAGGTATCTACGAAGTCCACGCTGTTTAAATTCTCCAACAAGTTTCTATAACCTGTCAAAAAAAAAAACATAAGCAACCTATACGTTTCCCCAGTATTGACATGCATGCTCAGAGCTCTCCACTTTAGTGAAATGAGGTGTTACTTCTGTGCTGATAGTTGACGAGTCAGCATTACACGACTTTGAGACCAACTAAATTAACATTGTCGTAATATGAAAGGCAAGCACAAGTTCATTTATTTATAGCAAAGGTCTTGGGTTACAGGAGGTCAGTTCTTGCCATCTTGAAAAGATAGGGGATAACTTATTGCATACATGTGCATTATAATTTAGCAGCAAGTCATTCATAGAAACACTTCCCTCCTACTGCTTTTTTGGTTTATTATCTCAATTATATATATATATTTTAGCTTTACAAAGCATTTAACACCACCTTTAAGTTAATGGTCTTTTATTGGAAAAAAAGACTAGCATTTACAACTTGGAATGGACATAAACTGTAATATCTTGAACAGCGATGTTGATAGTTGTGCTGAAGTCCACAGGCTACTCCGCCAGCTCCAAGTCATGGTACAGAAGGTTTTAAAAATATGAGAGTCCAAAGATGCTCCCTTGGTGAAGGTTTCTTTTAAAAATTTTGTGAACGGTAACAGCCCGACACCCGTTTCACTATAGTGCAATGCAGACAATGTTAAACCAGTATTTTAACACGGACATGCCATCCATAGTTAAGATCATCGTATTTTTGGAGCACAATGCTGCTACGTACAGGAGAACCATTCAACCTTTAGGGCTTTTCTCTAAGTTTTGCATCCTTCAACCATTTTGCTGCATACCATCCTGAGGTATAAACCAATTTTGAAGTAAACCAGCTATGACAATTTATACTACAAATTGAACTAGAATCCACTGTTGAACAAAAGAGTGGATCTTTTAGGTTGTTTTTTTACTTTTAATACAAATGTCTGACTGTGCTCAATTGTCAAGCTGCATGCATGAAAAACTGGCCAGCCCAAACAGTGTAATAGTCATTAGCAAATGGAACTTTTGAGTTCACTAAGTGCTTCCTTTTTTTTTTTTATTTTCAAGGTAGTACAATTATTTATATTGTAAAACTGATGTTTAACTTTATCTTTTGGGGACAGGACCACCAACCATTACATGCAGTTTGTGGACAGAAGGTATTTTGACATTCAGTTTTGCTATACAGAAACAGAATGAATAAATGAACATTTTTTTTGCAAGAGGTAAGTAAAAGATTCAATTTGATTCTTCTAGAGGAAAAAAGGTGTAAAGGAAGTCTCTTCACTTTGCAGTCATCATCTGTACGAATTCTGAAAAGATAAAAAGTCACTGTGATTTATTGTCTCAAGAGTATTTCAACTGATAAGTCTCTTAAACACACTTGGCATAAAAAAAAGCCCCTTTCACTGCATCTAAGTTTTTGTCCACAGAAGGGGACAACTGAATAAACTGGTGTCTCAAGTACTAGAAATTAATGCCCTATGCAACAGGCTTTCACTCAATCTGAGTAATAGTTTTGAGTCAAGACAAGCATCTTTTTACCTTCATAGTTGACTTGCCCATCCCCATCAATGTCTGCTTCTCTGATCATTTCGTCTACTTCTTCATCTGTTAGCTTTTCTCCTAAGTTTGTCATAACGTGACGTAGTTCTGCTGCACTGATATAGCCATTGCCATCCTGTGAGGAAAGAGGTGCACAAGATCATGATCAACAATCCTGACATTGAGTAACTCTGAAACTACATCTAGGTTTCCAGTAACTGCTTCTGAACTAGCCTTTCAGCACTTGGGACAGAAATACAGACCTGGTACACTGTACAACCCTATGTACTAGTCTCACTGCCTTAGGAAGCATGCGTGCCACCATATCCCTCTATACAATTATTGTACTGTAAGAATAACCGCATGCCTGATTTGTAGCTGCAATGAGGTATTTTTAGTGCTTTTAAAGAGCTTTCAAAAATAAACCCAGAAACAAGATGTTTTTTGTTTAGTCTCTGCTGCCTAAGCAAGGCCAAAAAAAACCAACCCCACCACAATTTCCCCACCAGTAAGAATAAAATCAACTTTCTCTTCTGTGTAATACTACCTCTATAACCAGACTGCAGGTGGCTAGGTTAGGCTTCTTGGATAAGATGATATAGAACAAACCTTCAAAGAAAACATTTAAATTTTACTTATAAGGAGTTGTAAAAAGCTTTGTGACAAAAAAAAGAGATAATGACACTTTTAAGTCAGTGTTCCCATCAGTAATATCCAGAACTAGAGCTCATCCCTAGCCATTTCAGAAATTGTCCTCTCCCATCTACAGGAAGAATACACTAGCTTAAAGCAGGAGTTCATATGGCCATCACCAGTAGATAAGCTACCTCAGTGGCTTTAAACACAAATTTAGTCTGCAGAAATAACCCCATAGGGTAGATGAAGTACTAACCAAACAATCGAACATTTCCTCTAGCATTTTCCAGCGAAGTACTAGAGACTGCCACTTTTTTCCATAAAAAGGAGAAGTAGTAAGGCCTTCTTCCACACATGCATGTGCATCAGCTTAGCAGCTGCACCAGCCATTGCTCAACACAATGCTCTTGTAACATCTGTCATATCCAAGCAATCCAAAGAGGGGAACCCCTGTTCTAGAAATAATTGACCATCATGTATGCCCAGGTATCCTTAAAGAAGACAGAGGGAGTTGAGCTCTTAAGTTTTCCTGAAAGCAACCTCCAAGTCCACATCTTGAAAACAGAACACGCAATACTTCATGTCCCTCTAAATACTGGTGACATCATCTTAGCTTCAAAAGCTTCCATAAAGAAGTGTAAAACCTTGTGCATCCTTGCAAACATTTCCCCATTCCCCCAAAGTCGGAAGGTACAGGAATAACCCCACCCCTCCA